GGCCCATCAATGACTCTCTCATCATTGATGTTTCAACTCTCTCGCTCCGTCTCCCTTCTCTCTGAAATCAATAAAGGCATATTTAAAAAAAAAAAGAATTGATTCTTTGTTCTACTTACCTCAGAGCTCCTGAGGAACTGAGCTGTACTTGCAGACTTTTGACACTAGGTGGCATGTTTATAAAAAAGTAAAATGTTTGGGTCTCAGAAAACAGTAACAAAGGAAGCACCCTTGACTTTATTCTGAAGCCCTGTAGGTAAGCAGGTGGGTCAGATATGGACAGATGGGCAAGAAGGTTTGTTTGTTTGGTTCAGAATTTCCCTCAACAACTACATCAGCTAAAACCTTTATTTTAAAAATGCCTACCGAGGCAATTGGAGAGACAGATCTTTCTTAAGTAAAATCCTTTGTTGTGATATAGATCGGACATGAGTAAATAAAGAACTATAAAGCAGTATTTTCTGTAAGGACACAGAAAATACATGCTCATCTGTAGTGTTGTAAATGTCTGTTGACTTACTAGTAGTGTATATTTTGCTGTTTAAAATATTCTGCTAGCCCAGCCAGAGTGGCTCAGTTGGTTAAGCATCGTTCTGTGAACTGGAAGGTCCCTGGTTCGATTCCTGGTCGTGGCACATGCCCAGGTTTTGGGTTCAGTTCCCAGTCGCCACATACAAAAGTCAACCAATGAATGAAATGCGTAAATAAATGGAACAAAGGATCGATATTTTTTTTCCCTTTCACAAATCAATTTTTGAAAAAGTTCTGCTAAGTGAAAAATTCTAGTAGTTTTAGTTTTCATTTTTATTGTAAATTTTATATAAATGTAAAAATGGTCAATTATAATACTTCCAAGGAAGGTCTTAGGTACCTGGGCTTAAGCAAAGTGCGTAACTACATGTGTGACTGAGACTCCAGCTTTATCTTCAAACTCCATGTAGCTCTCTCTGCAGCTGTGTTTCATACCTGCAGTTGAAGAGGGGAAATGACTATTTTTTAAAGTGTATTTAAAACTTTTTAAAGGTGTTTAAAATTTTTTTTCCTGTGATACATTGGAATTTTATTTTTTTAAAAATATATCTTTATTGATTTCAGAGAGAGGAAGGGGGGGAGAGAGAAACATCAGTGATGAGAGAGTCATTGATCGGCTGCCTTCTGCATGCCCCTGACTGGGGATCGAGTCCATAACCCGGGCATATGCCCTGACCAGGAATCGAACCTCGATCTCCTGGATCCTGGGTTGAACTACGCCGGGCTGGGCTACGTTGGAATTTTATGTGTTTCTGAAGTCTGTTAACTGTAAAGCATTTTTACTTTGGTTTACTTTTTCATGGTCTCTATTAGTTTCCTGTGGGTGCTGTAACAAATGACCACAAACTTGGTGACTTAAAACAAGAAGTGTATTCTCTCTCAGTTCTGGAAGGCAGACATTCATCGTCAGCTTTACTGGGCCAAAATCAGGTGTGGGTAGGGCTCCCTCCACGGCTCCAGGAGAGACTCTGCTTGCCTGCTCCCCGCGCCTGGTGACTGTGGCTTTCATTCTTTTACACGTTACCCTAATCTTTGCCTCTCCTCGAGTGTGTGTGTGGGGGGGGTGAGGGGGGGAGGTCAGATCTCCCTCTGCCCTCTCTTATAAGGGCACTTATGGCATTTAGGGCCCACCGGATAACCTCTCCCATCTCAAATTGCATAATTTAATTACACTTCCAAAGGCCCTTTTCCTTATAAATTAACATTTGCAGGTTTGATATCTTTGGGGTCGTTTTCAGCCTACTGCCGTATGCTTCAGAGCAGTTAGTGCAACCAGTTTAGCGTAATGAGTGGAGCTGTGCTCTAGCCGTCCTGAAAGGGTGGGCAGAGTGGCATTATGAATTGGTGGGAAACTGCTGGGAATCAGGCCATTCTCTTGCTTGTCCCCAGGGGGCTTTACCACCTGAGCTGCTTGGGAACGCTGTTAAGTTGGCTGAAGCAAAATGCGAATGAGTTTGACTCTACAAAAGCTGGCAAAAGAGGGCAGAAGTGATACTTTTAATAACATTATGAGTAATTATTTTACAGGTTCCTATAAAGACTTACTTTCTACTCTGGAGTTCGGTGCTAGATACCCAGTCAGCATTGAATTTGCATGACACCTCCAGTCTTACAGCAACAGTTAGGCCTTAGGTGAAGGCCTAACTGAATTCAGAAAAACAAAACTCCCCAAAGCTTCTCTTAAGTAGCACTAGTTGAACTCTGACAAGTCATCTAAATTCTCAAGTGAAGTTTATTTCTTCCCTTTTTAAAAAAATATATATTGATTTCAGGGAGAAGGAGAGAGCTAGAAACGTCAATGATGAGAGAGAGTCATTCATCGGCTGCCTCCTGCGTGGCCCCCACCGGGGATCTATCCCGCAACCTGGCCATGTGCTCCCACCAGGAATCAAACCACTGTCTCCTGGAACCTAGGTCAGTACTCACCTGCCCAGCCACGCCAGCCAGGCACAAATGAAGTTTATTTCTGACAACAGTACTTACAGGAGCAAGTTTTAAGGTTACAGGTGTGTTCATGAACTCATGGTAGTTTTCTAACAAATTGGCAACTGAACAATTTCTCTGTCAAATGCATTGTAGTTTTATGGTGGGGTATTGATCACAAATGCTCCTGATTATGTGAATTATTACTAGAGGATTCCATGGAACCTTGGATATATATTGATTGCAGATGGATTTGGAGTAGCCATTGATAAAGACCAATTGGAATGCTTTGATATATTGTAGGGTCCTTTTATAATTTTAGGTTTGAGGGAAAGAACTAATGACCACTTGGGCTTATACGTAGCACTTAGGTTTGAGGCTGCAAAGGGGGTGTGAATGGACCTGTAGTGTGTCAGGCTGGGTTCCAGTGATACAGAAGTTTTCCTTAGCTGGCTTATGTTGCAGTGGGGAAGACAAGCGCCATCCAGTAATTGCCTAAAGGAGCGAGTACAGTTGTAATAAGCACCGTGAAGGAGAACTGGTAAGGCGTATAACAAGGCAGCGCACGGATGGAGGGCGAGAGGTGGGACTGGGGCGGGCTGGCAGCATCCCACGGGCACGGGCCCGGCAGTCTAGAGGGACGTGCACCAGGCCGTGTCTGGAGTGTTCGCTGGGCTGGATCTGCAAGGCCGTCGTTGTGCGCGAGGTAAATTCTCTCAGTGGTAATTCCTAACAGTTCCAAATGCTTTATTTTTGCTTTGCGTGTGCTTTTCACATATGAGACAGGCCAGGTCCGTGAGGCCCGAGAAGGTGCCGCTGGTTTTTCACTAAGTGGTGGGTGCTGGGAGTGGCACGAGCCAGAGGGGCTTGCTCCTGGTCCAGGGGGCGCTTTGATTCTTCGGGGAGTCTTGCGTCCTCTTAGGACAGAGCTCTCTCTCGTCTCTGTGCTTTTTATTTGTGTTCAGCTTCCTTGTGCTTATTTTAAATATAAAGCTCCCGGGACTCTGGGGGTCATACACTCGAGCGTCACAGCCCAGGCGTGAACGTCAGATTGTGGAAGCGTTTTGGTGAAGGGTGGAGTTCCCGCCACTCCAGGAGCCCGAGTTTGGAATTGTTGACTTAAGGTTTTAGAAACTGGTTTTAACTTCCATGCCGAGGGGCTTTTGTGATCTTTTTTCTTTTTATGTATATATTTAAGCTTTTTATTACAAAAATAATACGTCCTCATTTTGAAAAGTTGAGCCCTTTGAAGAATATGTCCTGAAACAGGTAGAAATGGCTTGTGCTCTAATTCTTTCGGGTTCATACTATTAATTGTTTGGTATGAATTGTTTTGTTAGCAAATTATATCTGAATCACTTAAAATATTTGCTTTGCCTTTTGTCAGTGAAGATTTCCAAAAGGTGGCTGGCCAGCCGGGCCTGTTGTGTTACCCTTTCCTAGTCACCCCTTGGGGATGGTCTCGTTGCCCCGGGTGACTCCTCTAAGATGCGCTGCAGACAAGTGCAGCACGTAAACTGGTTGGAGGGTGCTTGGCAGTGTTGCAGGAGTTATGTTAAAATTATCGATAGTCATTCAGAATCAATGTGTTTCTTTTTCTGATAGATTTTTTAAAATCCTGGTTTGGTTTAGAATGTTTAGCAAAAAACTCCTGTCCAAAAGCTTTAAGTAAAAAAAGATTGGAACCACAGCCCTCAAGTTGGGCCTGAGCAGTGAACTCAGAAGCCACTCAGCAGTTGCTGACCCCCGTGTCCGTGGGGACGGGGGAGTGGTGAGGGTGCTGACGTCTGCTGAGGGCCCATCACTGCTGAGAGTAGACCTGTGCCAAGCACATTTTATGAAACAATTTTGTGCTTTCTTTTGAAGCTTTTTCAAGTATCAGAGTATTTGCTGTTGCTCCCACCCCCCAATTATACATGGACAGGTTTGCTGTAACCATTTGGGGGTGATGTTAGTACCATTCCCTCAGAGACAGCGTGCTGCTGTTGGTGTGGAGTCGGGTGGCGGGCCTGCGCGCCTCCTGTACCCGTGTCAGCACGGTTGGAGCCGCCTCTGGCACAGCTCCACGTGGTGCCTTAAATGCTTCCCTCCCTAGGTGCAGCTCCTGTTTTATTCCTTTGCTGGTTGCTTGTATTACCATGAGGAGTCCGCCCTTTTACTTACGGTTTGTACTAGGACCTGAGCTTGTGCTTCCTTCGCCATCTTTAAGGTGACTCTTCATTTCCTGCGGACTGAGTGTGAGCCTCCGGTGCGGGGCACTCGCACTGCGACTCCTTAGAGCCCGGTTGCGTGGCTTTTGTGAGCACTCACAGAAATAGGGGGAGCGGAGCCTGCAGGATACCCTGAGGAGCTCCGCCCCATTAGCACACTCAGGTGATCTGTGTCTAATCTATCTGTTTAAAACGGTTTTGTTTATTGATTTTAAAGTGGGGAAGGGGGGGAGAGAGAGAGAGAGAAACGATGTGAGAGAGAAGCATCGATCGGCTGCCTCCTGCATGCCCCCCACTGCGGATGGAGCCCGAAACCTGGGCATGTGCGGCCACGGGGAATCGAACTGGTGACTTCCTGGTGCCTGGGACTGCGCTCAACCCGCTGAGCCACGCCGGCTGGGCCAAAAACAGTGTTTTTTAATATAAATGATCCTTATAAACTCTCTCAAGGCATACTGTTATCAAATTAACGTATTCCTATCTCCCACCCTCTGAATTTAATTTACATACATCTTTCCTGGCATGTGGAATTTCTACTCTCTTTCTCTTACTAGAAATAAATGACATAAGATTTAGGACTCTCTTCTTTCATTATGTCTTATCTCCTCTCTGCTGTCTACCTCTGTTCCCACAAGCCCGTGTTTCAAGACATCATGTCCATTTTAGAAGTTCTCTGCTGTTTCTGAAAGAGGCTCACAGGTGGCGAGTGGCCTGTGCTGCCTGAGTGTCAGCTCACAGGAGGCGTTTGCCTTCGGAGCCTGGCTGCCAGTGCCGGCTGGCCGGTGCCTCCGGAGGCGCTGGTCCCTGCTCTGCCCGCTTCTCCTTCCTCGCGAGTGGCTCCTTGCACTACCCTGTGCTGCTGCTTTCTTATCTTGATCTTTCAGTGTTGGGGTGGCCCCTCAGTCCTTAGACTTTTTATTTACACTCACTTCTTGGGTCATTTCATTCCGTCCCGTGGCACAAGTACCGACACCAGGTTTACCTGCGCGCCCTGCACCTGGGCCCTGGTGTCCAGCTGCTTTCATCTTCTCCGCTTGATCCCGATTCGGCATCTCAGACGTGACCAAAAGCAAACTCCTGCACTCTGACCCCCAAAACCTGACCTCCCTGTCATCTCTGTCACCTTCGTAAATACTAACGCCGTCCTTCCATTTGGAGGCATATTTGAGTCTTCTCTTCTGCATTAGCTGTTGGCAAATCCCACCTACCAGCAAGACCTTCAGAAAAGATCCTGAAACCAAGCGCCTGTTGCTGCCTCTGCTGCTGCGGGCCGCCAGTGTCCCTCGGCTTCACCGCTGTAGTCTCCCCAGTGCTGCTCTCTTGTCCCCCAGTCAGTAATGGCTTCCTTAGAACAGCTTCTTCAGAAGCATCCTCTGTGAGCTCCTCTCCACCAGCCAGCAGCCAGCAACTGGGATCGGGTCGCCGCTCTGCGCCTCACCGAGTCAGTGCCCACGTCCCGGCAGGCTTGCTTCTGGCGGCCCGTCTGCCCCCTCCTGACCCCTGCTCTGCCCCCACACCGGCTCCGCTGGTCCTGACACACGGCCTCGGCGGCGTCCGTCCGTGCCCTCTGCTTCGCGCTCCCCCATCAGCCCCTGTGCCACCTGAAACATCTCCTGCCACTTAGAAGTTGCTCTGTTTTCTCCAAGGTGCTGGCATTTATTTGTGAGTTTGTTATTTCCTAGAGCTTTTTTCATTAGAACATAAGCACAGATGAGGGCAGGAACCCTTTTTGCTCTCCGCCGTATCCTCAGTGCCTGGAATAGTGTCTGGAATAGAGCAGGTGTCTCATAATTTCCCCGACATTGTTATATTGGGAGATCAGAACACACAAAGATTTGTAGCTGTTAGGCCATTTAAGGAATGGTTGAAATCTTTTTTTTCTGCCAGTTTTAGGATAAATTTGAGGTAATTTTTACTTCTAAGTATAGTCAGTGGCCAGTTAGCTTAGTCCTGTCAGCCAAGCCCGGCCCAGCCCATGGTGGCATTTCCATGAGAGCCAGCTGTGTTCTAGGCCAGAGAGGTACACCCCTGCTTACTTTGGGGGGCACCCTCATGGGAGCCAGGAAGCCTCTAGGTTTTGCTCGCCACCTGATGTCTTCAGCCTGTCTCCCCAAGCCTGCCATCGTATCGACTGTGTTAGCTTCCGAAATTCCATCCCCACCTTTAGTACGTAAGTGCTCTTCCTCCCCACGTGAGATCTTCTAGGAAGACCACGCCAGCAAGGACGGGCCCACACTCGGGCAGGGCAAACAAAGAACGGACAGCATTTTTATTATATATACTCAGCCTGAGCTAAGAAATTACAAATAGCCCCCAAATTTCTGATAGCTTCACTAGAACTGCTTTCACAGGTATTCACTTGTCTTTTGCCGTAAATGAGCTGTCATTATCTGGACACGTGGAGAGTATTGGAGCCTTTGCCAGAATATATCCAGACAGGTGCAGTCTCATACCTGAAGTTATGGATTTGTTCCACTTTGGATCATTAACCCACATTTGGTTGAAATTATGTATCAGTTAGAGAGGATCTCAGTCTGTGTTCTACAAACTGGACTGAAGTGTGCTACGAGAATGATTTATTGGTGAACTTTTCCTAATCTTGGGAAAAATTATGTTGGTAGGTACAATTTCCTCTGGTTAAAATTTTTTACTCCATAATTTTCCTTAAAATTTTGGCGTCTGCCCTTTGCCCTCACAGCTGATCGGGGGAATGGCTGAGAAGCTTAGAGCAGTGGCTCCCACACTGGCGCGTGCACCAGGCTCAGCTGGAGGCCTCCCTGGAACATGCTGGGCCTCGCTCCAGGTTGCCGCTTTCTGTCTCTGACTGTGGCTCTGGGTTGGAACTTAAGGGTTTTCTGTGGAGAGAGGACTTGCTGTTTCTTTGTCTCTTCATTCTTTCCAGCCCTGGCGGGTGGCTCGGTTGGTTGGAGTGTCGGCCCATTTATGAACCTTTTAGCTCGACTTACACTGAAAGCGTGACTCCATAATGGGGGGTGTCATGGGCGTCCTTTCACTCGCACCATTACCAGCAAACGTAGTCTGTTACACCCTCACTTCCAAACGTCCTTATAAATTACAGGGATCCCTCACTGTCCAAATCCTTCAGTTCCCAAATTCAGCTCGTTAACATCATATAGGGAGAGAGACTTCTATATGAGCAAATAGAATCTCCCAGTTTTTGTTGCCGTTGTAAAGGAACACGAAGGAGGACGTTTTATGACGGGCTGTTCCTTGGTAAGGTACCCCTGAATCCTTGAGTGTTGACTTTAAGCTAAAAGTTGTGATAAAACTGTTGTAGACAAGAGTTAATAAATGTCTTTGTAGTTTACTCATAGAGTTAATAGAATGTTACCAAAACATGTGATTTGAGCAGATTATTGAGCTATACCTAGATATGAGCATAACAGGAGCAAAGATGATTCTTAATGGTAACTGAATGATAAGCATTTACTGAGCGCTTACTGTGGACCAGTTGCTATTCAAAGCTCAAGCAGTGAGCAAGTCCCTCTTCAGGGCCTGGGGACGCTGCAGACCTCAGCGTGATAGGGACGGCCGGGGCTCCGAGGTAGTCTAAAGAGTGGAAACATTAATTACTAAATTACTTTTAATACTCTGTATCTTTCTCAGGGGTCTGTGTAGCATGGTCTTTATGTATTTACCTCCCCATTTTGTTTTGTTTTTCATATTTTGTTTCTGTTAGGAGAGAACATTGAAATTATTCTCTAAGCTATTTGAAGAGAGTGACTAAATGCACCTGGGTCAGGCTGTCTGTGGGTATGAAGTGGTTGGGAGAATCCAAGAACATGGTGGTGAATGGCAGGAGAAATGGAGGCAAGTTGTCTAATGACCATCAGCAGAATCAATCAAAATTACAGCACACGGGAAAGGACACCGTGAAGGCTGGCAAAAGCGCAGTGGAGAGGAGGTCGAGCCGATGTATGTACACACTCAAACTGTCGCTCTTTTGATTGTGATATGGGGCAGTAATTCTTTCCAGTTTGTAATGTATTCTGTTCTCTGTTGTTTTCAAAATAGTTCTTTATGTTCTCACACAGTTAACAGTATAGTATTTTACTCTTTCAAAGTTATATCAATTTTTATTCTCATCAACATGTGTACAACTTCAGTTTAATGCTTAATATAGTAACATCAGTCATGCTTTTATATCCATGGTTTTAAATTATATTTTGTAGAATTTATACCTAACTGGTTAATCTCTTCTATAAAAATTATTAAAATACTGCTACTGAACTGAATTTCTTAAAAGTTCAAACTGTATTTGTGTATTGATGTAAGTATAAATGTGTCTGCCTTTGAAAACGTACAGTGATATGAATAATACGATTAGCTCTAATTTGCACGATAAGTAGAGTTTAGGGCAGCTTCACAAATTTCTATTTGTATAGGGTGAACAGTGCTCTATCTTGACAGTGAGGCACTGTTGACATTAAGTTACTTTTTTACTTCTATACCTCTTGGTAAGAATGAAACTGCTTGTGGAGAGTTCTGAGAAATTGTAGAGTTGATACATGTCTCATAGTTCTTTTAAGAGTAGTAAATTGTCCCAGGATAAGTATAAACCTAAGTAGACAGCTATATGAAGGTTGTCCAACAGTGTATGGCCATGTTAAGGAGTACCGCTTTTTCTATGTCTTAATTTTCCTGTGGTTAATTTAGCCACTGTTGAACAGCCTTAGTTTATGTTGGAATCGGCCTACTCCAATAGTTTGGATTAGCCTGGGGTATGCTGCAGTTTCAGATAGATTCCTCCAGTTCCAATTCATTTCATTCTTACCTTTTAGGGGTTTATGCTACTCATTGGGCCCAGGCTGCCCTTAACCTTTCAGGTCACTATTTCTGTAAAGAAACAGGCAGAAATTCCTGCTTGGGGTAAGATTGAGGGAGAGTCCAAGACTGAATGGACTCTCTTTCTCTCCTCGCCCCTTAGCATGTGACGGAAACCTGAAGTAATTGAGAAGTGTAGTGACTATAGCAGTGGTATTGGCTCTGTTCAGTAAATTAGGCGTCTCTTAAACTTCTTGTTTTTTAAGCAAATTACTATTGGCTTCCTTTTGTGCATCATAGTGCAAAAAGGTCTTAATTAGTTTAATTTTTGGAGGTACATAAGAATTTAGAAAATGACCATTATATGAACTACACTTTCCCAAGTGTAGACAGATTTAAAGTGGTAGGTTGGAAAAACCCAGAGAGCATGGAGATGGGCAGCATCTCAGTGAATGTTATTGGTGCAAAAAGAGAGCCAATGATAAGAAACAAGCAGTGCTCCATCTTAGATAAACTGCAGTGACTACGTCTAACATCAGAGCCACAAAGTACATGAAGGAAAACTGATAAAATTGAGGGGAGAAAATAGAGAACTCGAACAGTAATTTGGAGACTTTAATACCCTACTTTCAGTAATGTGTAGAACAAGGAAAGAAGACAGTTCTCTAAACCAGTTCTGCAGACACACACTCAACAACAGCAGAATGTGCATTCTTTTCAAGTGCACATGGAGCATTGTTAGGATAGACATGGGCTAGGCCATGCAGGAAGCCTCAGTAAACTCAAAAGGATTGAAATCATACGTTATATGTTCTCTGATGACAATGGTGTAAAATTAGAAATGAATAATAGAAATTTGGGGAATTCACAAATATGTGGAAATTAAACAGCACACTCCATTGGTTAATGGGTTAAAGAAATCAAAGGGAAATGAGAAAATTCTTTTAGATGATTGAAAATGAGGATGCAACATACTAAAACCAATGGGGTGCAGCTAAAGCAATGCCTAGAGGAAAATTTGTAGCCGTGAACACCTATTTTAAAAAAAGAAGAGAGATCTCAATCAATAAGCTGTTTACCTAAAACATGAGAGAAAGAAAAGCAAGCAGAAGGAAGGACATGATGGACTGAAGTTAAGATAGCAGAGATAATCGATAAAACTAGAAGTTGATTCTTTGAAAAGATCAACAAAATTGGCAAACGTTTGCATGAGGCTGACGAGAAGAAGGGAAGAATCAGGAATGAGAAGGAGGCATGACTGCTGTTGCACAGCAGTGAAAAGGGTTATAACCATATTACGAACAACTGTGTACCAACAAATTAGATACTTAGATTAAATGAAAGACTTGCTAGAAAGTAACAGACTACCAAAACTGAATCAAGACGAAATACAAAATCAGAATAAACCTAGTAAAGAGATTGCATCAGTAATTAGAAGAGGAAAAAAGCAAAACACTGCCTACAGGAAAACCCCAGGCCCAGATGGCTTCATTGGTGAATGCTGGCAGATGCTTAAAGAACTAACAGCAATCCTTCACAGACTGTTAAAAATAAAAATGGAAGAACACTTCTGATTCGTTGAGTGAGGCCAGTATTATCCTGCTACCAGAATCCTCAGATATCCACCAACAAGTGAAAAGTGGAATTTATCACAGGAATGCAAGGTTGGTTTAACATCTGAAAAGCAAGTGATTCGTTATATCAAGAGAATGAAGGACTAAAGCCATACAGTGATCCCAGTAGATGCAGAAAAAGCATTTGACAAAACCCAACACCCTTTCAGGAAAAAACATACAGCAAACTAGGAGTAGCAGGGAATTCTTCAACCTGATAAAGGACATCTTTGAAAAACCCACAACTAATGTCCTATTTAATGGTGAAATGCTAAGTGGTTTTCCCCAAAATCAGGAACAAGACACAAAACCCATTCTCACCACTTCTGTTCAGCATTGTATTAGGGAGGAAAATGAACCAAAGCATCCAGGTTAGAAGTAAAATAATCTGTTTGCAGGTGATATGATTGTGTACGTAGAAATTCCTAAGAACCCACTCAGAAACTTAGCACTACAAGTTCAGCAAGGTTGCAGGATACAAGGTCAGTATACAGAAATCAGTTGTAGTTCTGTACATTTGCAATGAACAATTTGGAGTTGAAGCTAACGATTTTATTTCCATTGGCATCAAAAAGGGAAATAGAGCAACAGATTTAACAATCAAAGTGTAAGACTTACACTCTGAAAACTACAAAACATTGTTACAATGAAAGAAATTTCAAAAGACCTAAATAAATAGAAAGACATCACATCATCATTGACAGAAGACTTAATATTAAGATGGCTGTACTGCCCAGGTGATCTGCAGATTGAATGCCTTTCCTATCAAAGTCTCAACTGGCTTCTTTGCAGAAATTGACAAGCTGATCCTAAAAGTCTTATGGAAATTTAAGGGACCCATAATAACTAAAACAATCCTGAAAAAAGGGACTCTTAGCCATCAGCAAAATGCAAATTAAAAGCATAAGATACCACTTCACATCGAGCAGGATGTCTGCAATCAAGGGGACAGAAACAGGTGTTGGTGAGGATGGGAGAACTCGGGGCCTCATGCACGGCTGCTGGAAATGCAAATGGTGCGTCCACTTTGAAAACAGTCTGGCAGTTCCTCAGAAGCGTGGAGTTACCCTGTGACCCAGCCGCTCCACTCCTAGGGAGGTACCTGAGAGCATTGAAAACATACGTGCACACAACTGTCACGTGAAGGTTCATAGAAACAATCATAATAGCCGGAGAGTGGGAAGAGCCCAAATGTCCATCAGCTGGTGAACAGACCGAATGCGGTGTAGCCGTTCAGCGGGGTATTATTTGGCCATAATGAGGAATGAAGTACTGATGTGTGGTGTGGCACAACTCGGAGGGCCTGGAAAACACCGTGCCCATTGAAAGAAGCCAGACACAAAGCCCACGTATCGTATGATTCCATCTCTGTGACGTTTCAAACTAGGCAGATCCACAGAAACAAGCTAGGTCAGTGGTTGCCAGGGGCTGGGAGGGAGCAGCTAGTGACTGCCTAATGGCTGTGGGGTTTTGGGGGGAGTGATGAAATGTTCCAAAATTTATTGTGGTGGTATTTATAGAATTACGTGAATATATTTAAAGAAACAACATTGAATTGTACACCTTAAATGGATGAATTTTACGGTATGTGTGTTATAGTTCAATAAAGCTGTTACAGAAAAGGAAATGATCGGAGAGCTTTTCACAGACCTACATGCGAGTGATTTGATTGCAAGTCACACACCTCCCCTTTGGCAGGGACTCACATACACGTGCTTGATTTTACTTTTTGAGAGGCTCATCCGTGTGCTGCTGGCGTCGTCACTGACGCCAGCGAGACCGTCAGCGACGCGCACATCACACTCAGGGCAGCGCTGATGGGACTTCGCACGTGCACATTTGTTCTCCTTTCCTCTCTACATTGTTTCTCTTCCACAGTTCAACCCAGTTATTCAGTCACAGATATATTTCGGTCGCCTTCCCTATTTTTCATTCAAAACTTTTTCAGGCAGGTCTGTCCCCCTCTCTCTTCCTTCCCACCTTGACTCCCTGGCTCTGTGATCATGGCAAGTTTTTTAACCTCTGGGCCTGTCACCAGCCAAATGGCCATAATAATCACTCATCCGCCCAAAAGCAGGAAGCTGGAGTTAACTCCTCCACTCCTTTTGGTACTTACGACCCAGTCTACCCTCCGGCCCCTACTGCAGAGAGTATCGTGTCCCTCCTGTTGCTCCTCGCCAGCCCTGGCCTCGCTACCCCAGGGAACATCCCCTCCCGCCTCAGCTCTTCCTGGGAGGGGCCGGGCGTCTGAGCAAAGACTCACTGACCCTCTTCCTGGGAAATCTGATGGTACCTGCCAACCAAAATACTCTCAGTCACTGGGTTAGTTTACTGCATTTGGTTTCACGGTTATGCAAATAGTGCTGCAGTCTCCATTATTGAAATTGACTGAACTAGTTTTAGTTCTTGATGGCTAGCCGTAGGTTTTTAAGGTAGACTTCAGTCGTTTTCCATCTGAGCTGCTCTTCTCTTCTCTTCACAGGCAGTGGCAACTCGGGATTCGAAGGCCAGAGCCGCTATGTGCCGTCCTCGGGGATGTCCGCCAAGGAGCTCTGTGAAAATGACGACCTCGCCACCAGTTTGGTCCTTGACCCCTATTTAGGTTTTCAGACACACAAAATGAATACTAGGTAATGTTAAGTCTTCATCCTGAATGGCACAGACGTTGAATTTTAGAAAATAGATGGCCAATTTTACTTTCAGGCAAAATTTTAAATGACATTAAAGGAAAGTATTTTGCTACAGAAAGATTTTCTATATGTGAACCAAGAAAAGCAGCAAAAGCTTTTGAGAGTCTTGTCAGTTTTAATTCTGTGTTCTTACTTTATCTCAGGATAGTTCTTACTAAAATATAAAGCTGGGGGAGCATCTTTATGTTCAGTTTTAAATGGTGGTGATAATTAGCTGAAAGAAAAGTCTGACAGGCATCCTGTAAAACCTTAAAACCGTATGTGATTATTTTCTGCTAAAAGTAGGTTACAGCTGGTTTTTTTTTCATGGTTTTATTACAGACTTTTCTCCTTGTAAATAATTGCCACTGTACATAGAGTGTCTTGCCATCCTTGAGATGCAGCTCAGCATCGGCTAAGTGAGATTCAGCTAAGTACGAGTGAATATTTTAAAAATGTGCTTATGCTCAGTGCAGACGAGAAAATAGATGTGCAAGTTCTTTACTAGTGTCCTCTACACACAGTATTGCTGCATTGCTCTTCAAGTCTGTCATCCCCCCTTAAGTACAGCCCCCCCCCCCC